ACCACGCCCATTTAGTGATTGCAATATGTACGTAATAGAAACCGCACCCCGAACTTGAGCTTTTGATCCCAATTTTTAAATTGATACATTGTAATATAAACCGCGGTTTATAATAGGACTTTAACGGTACGTCTTTTTGAGAAAACAAAGATGCGAAACGAGCTGTCATTGATTTCAATGACACTTTTTAGAATGAACAAACAAATATGAACAAAAAACAAAAATTCTATTACAAAGCGGTTCACATACGGTCTGAATTTACGGTGCAAAAATGGGTAGGGTCTGTGGGAAAACGGTCAAAGGCAAGATCGTGCGCAAACTCTCGATACAAAGCTATTTCCGCCATGGATTCATCATAATTTGACCTGAACAACTTCCTTTGACCTAACGGGTCCCGTCTTTCGTTACCCAATGAAAATGAAAATGTTTTCCGATTATTGACGAAGTATTTTTATCAACGCATTGCGGAAGTGTATTACCGCAATGTTAAAATGCGATCTGTTAACACTGATTTCGACAACGGTGATTTTTTTTCCCTAAAAGCTGTTGATTCGCAATGAGGTGTGGGAAGTATTTAAACTTTTCACGGCCGCCAACAAGTCATGTCGAAGAATAGTTTGCTCGTTCACACCACATTCTCGATAGTCTCAATGGAAAAGGTTGTTCGGAAAAGTAAAACTAAGATAGTGACCAGGTTTCACGACTTGACGATCACATTTTTGCCGCTTGGAAAACTACTAAAAAGATATATGGATTATTTCAGTATTGCAACATCTGTGTTGATCCCGAGTGAATAACAGAATAGAAAACATGCCGTGCACTCTGAAATTAATGCAAGTTTTCTCGTAAAAGCTGGAACCAAACTACCGTACCAATCATGATTTTTATGCAATGAAATGCACTTTGAAATGCACTTTTTACATGCATATTTTAATAAATGTCAACGCCCGGTAAAAACACCCTGGGCCTATGCTCGGGGATGCCCTCGACTCGTTAAATGTCCAAAAACAGAGGGCAGGGCTTATAATCGGGGAGGGGCTTGTACTCTAAGTACAGTAATGATTATCATTTTGGGAAATATCCCCTCCCACATATTTAAGTACTGTTCACTAGGATGTGGGAAGTGCAAATGTTTGAATAGTTATTTTTTGAAGTATACATGTGCTTTTATAGTTTGTTGTTCAAGTTAAATTCGGGAGGGGGGGTCTAGCTTGCTATGCAGGTATAAAAGATTAAGATATTTGAGTCTGATTTTTGCTACAGGGTTGTATAACAGACTTTGCAATCTCTCTCTCTATTCGAAATAGGTATGTCCAATGCGCAATCTCTCGGATGGTCAGCGTAGTAGAGTTATATTTGCATGGATATCATCGCAAACTCCCCATCTACTGCTACTTGATGAACCTACCAATCATTTAGACATTGAGACCATAGATGCATTGGCAGATGCTATAAATAACTTTGAAGGTGGAATGGTTCTAGTTAGTCACGACTTTAGACTCATAGGACAGGTAAGAAAAGTTTTAACTCCTTTCACAGAAAGGATTTTCGCCCCAACATCTTTTTCTCTGAATTGTCTATTATCAATCAGGCAGAATATACGATATTGTTTCAACATTTATTTATAGAAATGAACACATTTCTAATCGCACTATTTTGGGGTAGGGGTCAAAATTTTACTGAATGTAAAAACTTATTACCGGTACTATAAAACTAGTTGATTTTGATGTTTTTAGGAATATTCATTGGTTTTGAAGTTAATTTGTCAGGAAAACAATGTGTTCTAATACCATTTTGCATGCTCACATGAATTTAATTTGGCAGATTTCACTTATCAGTGAAAAAAGCGACATTAAAACCCAGTGAATAATTTATTTACAGTATTGAATTATTTTGTAACCATGTTTCACAGATAAAATTATAGTTACTGTATCTTTACATCCAAAAAACTTTCATGAAGGAATAATCTGTGCTTTGAATTTGTACTTGTAAAACTACTGGTACATGCATCACCAAAGACTGTTTACTTGCAGTGTAAACTCACTCTGTAAGTTGTCATTCATTTTCGGAATCTTATATACTTCTATTCATTTGCAGGTTGCTAAAGAAATCTGGGTGTGTCAAAAACAGAAAGTGACAAAATGGAAAGGAGATATCCTAGGCTACAAGGATAATTTGCGAGCCAAAGTTTTGAAAGCAAAAGCCAAGGCAAAATAAATCTCAACTCTGTTCTGTCCAATGCTTGAAGACTGCACCACCGAGGTGTAAACTGATAACTCATGTGGCATCCATCCAATGATAATATGTATTCAATTCACCATGAATTTTGTCCTTTCCCTGACCTTGTCCCACTTGTTGCATCAAATATTTCACACCATATACACAATAATTGTTTTAGAATAGTCTTGATTAGCAGTCAATTCCTCCTGAGCAGGTTGATGATATGGATCCAATAATGTGCATCCCCCTACTTCTTTAATATATTTATCAAGTATTCTTTCTTTAATTTAATAGACATAAAACTACATTTTATTCAATCCTAATAACTGCATTGCATCTTGGCTTAGGTGAAAGGTTTGTAACACAATTTTACACAACTCTTCTCTCTATTTCAATTTCTAAGATCAATTTCTGCGCTTTGTATTCCTCGATTGAAAAAATATTACAATAGTCTCAGATTAGCCACACTTAATGATACATTTTAAATTATTTTATTCTTGAGACATTGAGCTTCCTAGTTACATTAAAACATGTACAATTCACTATCTTTGTTGAAAGTAGAATCGGTGTTTGACTAGAGTACCACCACCACCATATTTAAGTCTTGCTGCATTCATATTATGAAACTCTCCCTTCTTTTTTTTTTCTGAACAGATTTTATTAAATTATTTCCACAGAAGCGTATTTTATTATTTTTGATATACTCTATTTATTGTGCTCTAAGAGTCTTATCATTGTGTAAAATATTCAGGTGTGGTTTTAAGAATCTGGGTTGTATCAACCAAAATAATGCTTCAATGAAATAAAAGATGTATTGATTCAGAATATTTGCTTGTTTTTGAAAGGAGTCACTCTAAATGTTTATAAACATGAATTTATTATTAACCTTTTCACCACCAGTTCCTCTTTTCATCACAATTTCACAAAATGCTCCTGTTTATAGTCTGCACTTTCCTTCAGAAAACTGGGACAAAAATAGCCAAATTTTTTGAGTAAAAACAGAAAATTGACTCAAATTTTGTCTCGTCTCCACAATTACAATTTATTTCATGAAATATTGAAGAATATAAGAAAGAATTGGGGCGAGAAAGTCTGGTGGGGAAAAGATTAAGGCTGTAGTACAGGTTTTCGAGAAGAAAAATTTACACTAATTATTTTCATAATAAAGTTTATTTTGATTAATCATGGTTGAAAAGTGCATTGACCAGTACAAATTGTCAAATAAAAACCAGATCTTTAAAGTGAGAAGTGCATCAGGTTGTATTGGTATAGTACTAGAAAACTGTATTCTGTATTCAAAGTATGAATTGAGGAATGACCTCCCTGAAATGTGCCACAAGATTTGGACCAGTTTAACATCTATGGTGTATATAGTGATCAATTAGTATACGCTTCCTCTGTGGGTGGTTATACCAAATCACTAAAATATTACACGTTTACTAAACATGGGTGAGTGACCAGAAACGTTTAATATTCATAATTAAATATGGGACGTGTATGAACACGTGCTTGTGAAAGTGTTCAGTTTACCTCCAAAGTAAACTGACGATTCACTTGTTTGGAAAGTCCCTGCTTTGTACTGAATCAGACTATTCAAGGTCTGTCTGGAGCTATTTTTTTTTATAAATATGGCCGACTGCTGGCCATTTTGGTCCTTAAATTTGCAAACTTCAGATACTTGAGGTAGAAGCCTAGTCATAATTTTTGACAAAATTGGTCATAAATCTCATCGCAATATTCATTAGTTTATTATGTACAATCATGAAGCTAATGTCCTACGGTACAATGAAATACCATTATTTTGTGTGTTAAAGTTGTGCTTTTTGAGAAACTTGTCCTAATATTTTTTAAAAATTGCTATTTTTAGAACAATTCCATAGAACACAATGTTAAAGAAAAAATGCATTTTTTTACACTTTTTAAAACCCAGATTTTTTGAATAATTCAGAACAACAAAAAGTATTCCATCATTAACAATATATGATTTATTCAGCCTATGTCACCGGGCTAGAGTTTGAGATATTGCGTAATATCTCTGCCATAGGATCCTATGGTAAGTGTTATAATAGTGTCAAAATGGCGACTTTCCACTAAAATACAACCATCAATTTCTCGAAAAAAAGGCTGGTGACCCCCAACTTTTTTTAGGTCAATATCCTTATATTGCCTTGGAGTACAGTTTATTGCAAAATGAATAAATTCTGGGTTTTTAAATTTATGAGTAGGCTGTACCTTAAACATGTTCAGAACTATTTCTCAGAAATGAACAAGTTGTTTTCGTTCAAACTTTGTATCATTATCATGCATATTGTATTACTGATGTATGAAATCGACTTGCAGATGATGCATGGAGCCGTTTGGCAAATGTGTGACTTTGAACACTTACAATTAGTAATACCAACAATAATACTTGTACAATATTGCTGTTAAGATGGCTCTTGTGCCTGGTTTTCACTTGTACAAATTGCGCCCTCTAGTGGTGGGTATTTAAGGGTGTATGGTATGGTTATGTCGTTCAGCTGTCTGGCTGTGTAGTAGTTCACTATGTAGAATTAAACAAGTATTTCCCTGCAGGTATCTGTAGACGGCGGGTTCCTGTGTTGTGCCACTGGACAAACTGATTCACGCTGAGAAGATGGGTTAATCCGGGAGCCCAAACTAGTGTGATATTTCTGTAAACATAAACATAGGTTTATGTACAAGTTACTGTTTATGTGTGGCCAGATCATACACAATCACAGCCTATCGCATATGGTCTATGATAGACCCACAAAAGTGTTATTGAACCAAGACTGGTATTCTTGTATACACCATTTCAATAATATCAATGAAGCGTATCTCACTTAAACCCCCGGGGTGGCAATACATAGAACTTTCCTAATGGAAACGTGCCCCCAAGATGGGTCTTGTTTTTTGGATTTTAGGTATAAGTATCGGTCTTATTTCTGGTCAAGATAGGTATAAATATCGGTAATAATTTTCCTATTTGTGTTAATAATGTGCTCTTGTGTGACAGGTGTTTCTATGGCCAAAATGCGTATTTTAATAAATCAATATACAATGCAACTGTTTGCTGAGATGTGCTTCTATTAGATATGCTCTTCTAATAGAGTAAATACGGTAACTGTTCTATTTTGAATAAACAGTGATGACAGAAATGGTACTTTGGTATAAATATGGGTATAGATTTTGCCACTATCCAGATATAAAAAAATTGTCACACTTTTGATCACTCCCTACCGATCCCAGCTATGTATTAACTGCCCCCCGGACTTAAACATGGACCATGGATATAGTTCGGCCGTTTTCTTATCTCGATTAATGAATTTTATGGCTTGAAGGTTTTTTAGCGATTTGTGAGGATTGTTCTTATAATTTCAATCACGAATACAAAAGTTGTTGACCCTCTTGCTCATAAAGGAACGGCATTCCTAAATATATGTCATTGTGACCTCACAGAAGCACAAACAAAAGTGTTAAAGTTAACTTCTAATAGGGCAAAATACTACGGTATAATAGTGTATTTGTTGGTTGTCAGTATTTTGAGTTACGTTCTTCTTTGTGTCCGTGATTATGCAAGTATGTGTAAGATTTCTAACATTACACGGAAAAACTGTCAAAAAAAACTTTCTCTGAGCGATAAAGCTCTTATTATCCTAGCTGTGTGAGTAATCGTCTCTAATCAGTTTAGGCTTACCTATTCATATCATTCGTGCGCCGATGGTCCTCGCAAAGAAAAACACGGGTGCTCCATGAAATGTTTTGCCGATACATTGCGATTCACCGAGTATACTGATACTATATAACATCCTTGGTAGCAGATCACTAATGGTCAATCCACTTATTCCGAAGCCTTCTGGACCATTGCTTATGCGAGACTGGTGACGCAGCCCTCTGTTCTTCACGGTGAACAAGTAGTGTTCGATGCTCGGTTCGGGTTTCACCGTCACGCTAACAGAATTTTCGCTCATTTTACCCTCCAGTGCCATCTCCGCTCTGGGAACTATAACGAGATATACCAAATAACATCACATTTAGAAATACTGGGGTAAAGTCATCTGTAAATAATACACTCTATGTTTCAATGATTTTTACTCGGGTGCAGTCTATTATTTTCCGATCGAGATTGAAGTAATACGTAAGTGACTTACTTTCACAAGGTGAGGGCGCTGCTGGCGTTATTATGGTAACCCTTTCATCTGTAGAACAATTAATACATTCCCTTTAATATTTCAGTAAAGTGACACTCTTGTCTGTCAAAAAACAATGTCACTGTATCAACAATTTTCGCGGCCGCCTAATTTACTACGGATTGACAACATTCACCCCCCTGCATAGCTACAGTATGTGCTCACCTTCATTGACCTTCATTTCGAAATACGTCGACTTACTCCAGTAGAGTTTATAGTTACACCGTCTGATAGCAAACACTTCAACTAAGACCACTGCGTGGAACGGTACGTCGTGCAGCGGTATATGCGACTTGTCACGACTTCTCAGTACGTAACTGTACGTGCCGTTGGATGATGGATACGTCACGAAATAATTGACGTCATCCGTCTCGGCGTGAAGTCTTAATATCACTTTGCCCTGTCTCAAGGTACGCCGTACTGATGCCACACGTGGCGCAGCTGTGTAGTAAAACGGAAGTATCAGTAAAATTAAACTCAAAAGAGTGATTCAACTGCAAATAACTGTTTGAACAAAAATAAACTTCCAATTTGAATTTCAAAATTGCTTGATGATACTTACTAAGGATTGAACTACCATGACAATAGGCACCATTTGCCATTATTAGCCACGACTTTAACAGTTCTTCCATCTGTACAAAAATAAAAAAAAACTCATTTATAAAATAAATCTCAAATTATACAAGTGATGCTCTGTGTTACGCCGGGATGCAACGCCACGCGGCATGACCCATGCTCTCGTACATACATGGTGTTTGATCCATGGCAGGTGGCTACTAGGTATTGGTAAAAGTTTAGCTGTATTGTCTCGTGTACTCAATTGGAATCATTGATATATACATGTATAGAAATTTGTACAAATGAAACAGTTGCGGTATATTCGCAATATCCGTCACTGTCGAAGAAGTTTCTCTCGCAAAGTATCACATGTTTTTGTTTCAAAAATAATACATGAATAGTAATTCGGACAAGTATTTGTATTGTCGGCACATATTCTGAAAACAAAAATGGAAATGGATTATTTCGGACCTATTATTTTATGAAACTAATAACATTAATCAGAATTTTGTAATAATTCGTGACAGCAATAAGAGTATATGACTCTGTGACCGAACAATTGTGCAATATGGCAAGACCTAATTGGCTTAACAACACATTTCCCGGGATGATTGACACAAATTGAAACGTTTTTATTTGAGTTTTTGAAAGGAAATAAAATATAACATTTTATTTATGTAAACAAATCTTTTAAGCATGTATTGAGTGTTTCTTCTAGAACAATTGTTTAAAAGTTGTCTAATACACAAAATGAAGGTCGAGTTAAATCAGTTACTAGTATATGTCATTTTTGATTGTTTGTTATTTTAATTTCAATGAAAACAACTAAAACTTGACTATTATTTATATGTCATATTTGAATATTATATATACAAATATATTACTAGTATTTTGTCACACTTGTGCTCGCATTGTTTGAGGTTCAGCCTGACCGGACAATAACATAAAACACAGATCTAATCGACAAACCATATAATATGATTTAGAAACTTTGAGATGTGAGATGTGGGAGATCGCTTAACATGAACTTGACTGAGGTTAGATTGAGGTTAGATTAGATTTATATGGCTTTTAAAT